TGTCAAATGTGGTGCTGTGTTTCTAACATACTTTTTTTCACTGATAATTGGAATGAGACAAAATTAATTTCCCCTAGGTCACCAAATACCCATAAATTAATAATTTTCAGACACTGTGGCATAGTCAAATTGCTCACAGGGTCACATTTCACTTTTAAGTGAAGTCATCCCTAAACAAATCAGTACTTTCCTGGCTCCCTCCCAGCTGCTGGTTGGACAGAACCAAAATAGAAAAAAATCATATGTGATTTGGACAATATTTTGTGTGACAAGATAGCAAAGAAAACAAGTGAAATTAAGTTGCACTTACTTTACCCCTGCTGATAAGCTTACAACAGGGAAGAAAAACCCTTCTGTACTGAAGTTCTCAAACATTCCCTGAACAGGCTGTCCATTAATGCGGAATGAAATGCTGGGTACACCTAAATCCAAGCAGCAGCTAACCACATCATCAGATGCTAATAAATGCTGATTGACAGATGCTACAGCTCGGGGTACTCGACCTAGGATAAAAGTATGCAGTAATCAGAAGCTTTAAACAGACTCTCAGGGTTTGATGATTAATTTATTTTCTCTAAACCCCCAACAAGTTTTTTCTTCATAATCATGAAGACATGATCTTACCTTCATCTGTTTTATGAACAGTTCTGTTTTGAAAGACTGTGAGTCAAGATTCTTAAAAGTGGTATGTGGCAGAAGAGTGGATAAACTGAGCAAATAACTTGAGACCTCTGACACTGTTCACGTGACAGAACATGCTGAGCTGATACCACACAAGTTCACACTCTAGCCTGATGCAGGAATAATGAGGCAGTGTAAATGATGCCCTCTTTATAAAACTAACATTTATAGATCCATTTTTTCTTCAGTTATTAATGAAATCCCTGATTCACATATCTGTGAATATTCAGCAGTAAGACACTAGAACAGGTTGCCCAGAGAAGTTATGGATGACCCTTCTCTGGGACTGTTCATGTCCAGGTTGGATGGGGGTCTGAACAACCTGGTCTAGTGGAAGTGGCAGGGGCCCACAGGAGGGAGATTGGACTACAAGATCTCTAAGGTCTATTCCAACATGTATGGTTATATAATTCTACTGGACCTGTGATTATGACCAGTATCCCGGTTTACGTACACACACACACTTTATATACTAAATCCTATGTTAGAACAATGCTAATATAATTGAAAAATGAAACACTCTTAAATTAGGAAATGTTCAAAGTCCATAAAAGGTCGTAAAATTGACTTCAGTGTATTTATGTGTGCTGCACATAAACCACACCTGTTAATTGCATGGCCCTACACTGTTATTTTTGGAGCAATTAAAGAATACCTAGATGACACTTAAAGGCACTGAGAAATATGGGGCAAATAATCGTTTTGCCTACATGCCTTGAATAGTGTACAATAAAACACAAGCCACAAATCATTATTTACTGTGTATGCAAGAAAAATCTGAAAGAAAAAAATAGCATGCTTCTTCATAATAAAAGATAGTACACACAAGAACTAAAACAATGAAGTTGGTATAACTGTAGCAATTCTTATTTTTAATTGACAACATTATCTTTTATGAAACTATGTATCAAAATTTAAGTCAATTTATTACATCTATCAATGGATATAAGGATAACAGTGTCATTTTACTTCAACTGTAGATACAAAGTAAAAGAATAATGCAAATGTAGATCTATATAGAATTAATTTATCCGAGATCAATACATCCACTGATTTTGAATGGATGGAATTAAGACATTATTGATCTAGATCTGGAAAATACTATTCTTTGATCAAAATCATGAAAATATAAGCTGTCTGCTAAAATGCCTAATCAGTATAATTCAATATTGACTAACATCTCAGATAAGAAGTTTGAACTGAACATCTAAATAACTTCATGATAACCCAGAGTTCTGAATGTAACTCACTATGAAACAGCATGCCATATACACAAAGGTACTGATGGTAAAGGGGGGTAACTGCTAAATGTAGGAAGTGGAAGCTCACAAAATACTTACCAGACCACAGATGAAGGCCATCAAAACCATAGGAGTACAGGTCATCCCCAACACCATTGCCTCCCCATCCTTCTCCACCTCCAGGATAGGGGGCATAACCTGAAGTAGAGGCCCATCCAACTCGTAAATGAGTGGGTTCTGCCGTCAAGAATGGATCAACCTGATCAATTATTAACTCAAAGTACCACTTCTTGTATTGTGCAGAGCCCTCAGCAACACCCAAAAATATGTTTGGCCTTATGCTAAGAAAGAAAATGTAAACCAGTTAGTGTAAAGATAAAATGTGACATATAAATTATATTGCTGTATAATTGCCAAATTCACTTTGCCAATATGATGAGTGCAGATATCCACATTTTGCTTTTATTTTAAATAGTGACACATTTTATACAACTTTATAAAGCTGCTGTAGAATCATCTTCTAAGGTAGAGCTTCCATGCTTTGAAAAACTTAGAATCAAAATAGAAATAACAAGATAATATCCTAAAATCAGAAAAGCAGGAGTGAGGTTGCCAGGAAATCAAATCCCTCTTAAAACACACAAGTACTTCATAGCATTTTTACATACTCCATGCTCTGTTTTAACTTAGAAACAAGCAACTTTCATGTTTCCATTACAGAACAGATCTCACCATTAGTTAGCAATTTCTATTTGAGCACAGTTTCCATTACAAATGCAGCATTGCTAGTAAAAATTTAAGGGTTATTTTTTAAAAAATGATTACATAATACATAAACACTTCATAAAGTGCATGTCTCAATATTGAAAGCTGTGGGACATTTCTTAGGTTACAGTATTTTCTACAATTAATTACTGAAGATATGGAAGTCCTTTCTTTTTCTAATATAGCAATAAAACATGTCACTATACCTTGTCACATCATTAATCAAACGTGTCTGCAAAAGTAAGTCTCTTCTAGGCAGCAAATTGTCACAGATCAAATTTTGATTGGCGCGAACTGCAACTCCATTACAAACACAGAGAGAGCAAAGCACATCAAGAACCTTAAAAGAAAAATCAGAAGAAATTTGGGCAAAGGCAGCCAGCTGCATACACTATTATCCAGTTGTGAGATTAATTTGCATTCAGAATAGGCCTAAGGAAAGAACATAGTGCACTTTATCATTATTGTTTTCTAAATACTTTTTGCATATATGGAATGAGTGTAGTCTGTACAACTGACAGAGGATATCAAACATTCATGGAACAAATTCAGAACACAGGGCTTGAAAAATGCCTCAAAATCTCCATTGAGATTCTTTATTATCATTTTAATTAGAAAAAAACCCCAAAGCTAGAACAGTTGTATGTCAACTCTTTATATTTTTTAATTAAATCTCATTTAATAGTTTGAAATTTAAATTAAATTCTTTGATAAATTTCTTGCAGCCCAAATAACTTTCTGTGCAAAATTATCAGCTGCAATTCTTTGACTCCTTATGAATCTGTTCTGGAAAGAATGTTTTCAATATGAGAAGCAATCATATTATTTAAATTAAAAGCATTTAAAAGTATTCACTATAAAGCAAAACAGTATTTCAGAAATATCTTATTCTAAAACTTCTGACTTCTTTTTGTTTGGTTGGATTTAGGGGGGGAATTCAGTCTGAAAATTGAAAGAAATTGACATAATTCTCTCACAAGAGAGCAAAAGGTTTTGAAAGAGAGAACACAGTAACATGCTGTTGTTTAATGCTGAGGGAGAAAGCTACACACTATCACAAAAAAACAGAGAAGCTTGAAGATGTACTTGAGCTCTGACAAGCAATCTTTGAGCAACAAGCTCAAATGCTCTAAACTACAGATCACCTTCAAAGGCAAAGACATATCTTCACACTGTTGATTACCATCTTGGAAAGTGCTGTACAACACCAGGGGTAGCAGAACATGGCATTCATTTTAGCTACTCTTGTCCTCTGCCCAGTGGATTTAGCACAGTCACTATCAACAGTAGTTTAAGCTCATATATTGTGAACTTTGCTATGACCCAGCCCATGCATTTTCTTTTCTGCAATCTCTGTTATTGGGCAGAAAACTGTTGCAGAAGGATAGAGGTAATAACTTCAAGAACCACATAAAGCCTGATCAGTACTCAGTTGTAAGGCATCGTAGTAATATTAATGAATACCAGTAACTCAGAATTTACATGTAAACTGTTAAAATAATCTCTGTGTATTTGCTGACAGTATTTCTGACACAATGGTTTTTATCTAAAAAAAATCCTCCAAATCAATAACTTCCAAGACAATTTTACTTATTAATATTACCATTCTTATTTCCAAAATCTCAACAGAATTTCTAATCTAGCAGGAGAACAACATATACTGTTTCTGGAGTAACAAATACATTCATTACTTCATAAAAAAATTCATTACTTCACTGCTACATAACAAATAAATTCTTATTACTTATAGAGGTTTAGTCAAAGACATTACAAAAGGAAATGTACAAATCTATTATCCAGTATAATTCTTTTCCCATGTACATTTTCCATTTGTGTTCTATGTTCTTACTATGAGATCTGCATTAAGATGCTCCAGTTGAAAGGTTCTTTGTAGGTGACAGGCATATCACAGTAATTAACCATGCTTAAAACTACTTGTCTCCTTTATCTGTAGTTGGTTAGGTTCTCTGTATTACTGATTTACAGGAGAAGGTAATTTCAGCTCACTAAAACTTTCTCTGTTCTTCCTCAAGGTTATCAGTCTTTCAAATAGAATTTTAATTGAGCAAGGAAACTCGCATCAGAAAATCACACATAAACCTATTATCTTCATCTGTGTCCTGATGTCATCCTTATCAAAATCAGAAACTCTGCTCACCTTCTTCTATCATAATAAATTGCATATTTATGTCTAAACTAATTTAAGCCAATAATTTTTCTGGACACTCATGAGGTTTTTTCTTTCTTCTGAACACCTGTGCTTTCAGATATTTGGGTTATTTTTCTGAATTATCATTTTATTAGTTTTCTGCTGCTATTATTCTTACTGGATTTAGGAATGACTTTGCAGCATATAATTCTCCCTTTCTGTAGATATAATCATAGTCCACTGCTTCTGCAGGCCCTGCATCACAAAGCAAGGTAGTCTGCCCACATTCTGCAGCCACCAGAATGTTTCATTTTCTCAGCAAATCCAATGCTTTGACTGGTTATCAATATATCTTAAATGTGTGCTTGCCATACATATTTCCCATATATTTGATGAAAGGTAATTATATATTGTACATCCTTTTGCAATTGTATCTTATATATATTATATACATTATATTATGTGCAATTACATATTGCACATCTCTAGAAAACAATTCTTCAGATGTACTTCAAGATTAGTTTATTCCTTTAAAAGTGCTAGAATAAGATATTTCCATGTAGAAATTTCTCTTTCTGTTTCCCCCCTCACAAACGATTTTAAGATTATCGATACACCCTAAGTTTTTCCAAGCATACCTTGTAATTGCGCCCATGTTTATCCAACAATGAAATAATGGATTTGATATGCTCCTCAGATATTATATTTAAAGCT